GTGGCATCGGGCCACCGGCAGTTGTCGCCGGGCGGCAGCGGCACGACGGACGACACCTGCAGCGGCGCGTCTCCTCCGTTGAGCGAGAGAGAGGCAGCGGCTCCGTTAGCACGGGCTCTGCAAAGTCCAAAGAGGTTGTCGTCGGTCGGCGCGTCGATGCTCGCGACCTGCAGCGGCTCCTGACCCCGCACCGTTCCATCAGCACACGGTCGAGTGCACCGTGGATCCGAGCAACGGCGTCGACTTCCCCTCCTAGCCAGGCGGGCGGCGGCGGCGCGAGGTTGCAGCGCACCTGACTTCTTTTGGGGGACTGGGAGCGGCGGGCTTCCGACCACTCTGTGACTGTTCTCGAGGCGCCTCTGGCACCGTGTCGCGCACCGAGCAGCCGACGGCGAGTGCTCGCCCGCCTTGCCCCCTACCGCCAGCGGCGCGTGTTGCACCCCCGGCTAGCTGCGAGAAACTTTCTAAAATTCTTTTATGCGCATCGGTTATACGCATCGGGTGTCGAGTATGGCGACGCTGGGTTCCGGCTCCTACCCGGATAGGGGGTCTGTGGCACTGGCTGGCCCCTCCCTCCCAGATAGGTAGGTAGGTTGGTCTTGTTTGGCCCAAAAGGGCCCTGCAATAGGTAGGTACCCGCTATTTTCATCTTTTTTCGCTTCGCTGCGCGGCCTGGGGATAGGTAGGTAGGTAGGCGTTTTGGCGCGAGTCAGCTCACAGGCCAGCGCACAGCGCCATAGGAGGTATTTTCTTCTCAATAACAAGGCTGTGAACAGACCCCCATCCGGTAGGAGCCGGAACCCAGCTCTCGGGTGAACCCTGTTGATGCACAGGGCACATACATGAGCCTGCTCCTCCCGACGCTCGCCCTCGCCTCCCGCATCGCCAGCACGAGGCACGGCGCCATCGACGACCACGACGGGTACGACTGGCGCCGGTCGACGTCTGAGAATCATCGCAACCCGGCCGCACCGTTGCGTCATGAATTCGCCGCGTCACGTGCGCGGCTCGACTACTCGTGGCACGTTCACTACTCGCTGCGTCGCCAGGAGCAGCAGGACGCCATCATCCGGCGAATGCTCCGCGACGGCGCTGTTGGCGGTGCTGAGCATGCCACGCCGGCTGGCCGCGGCGTGCTGCAGGGGTTGCGGCAGGTGCTGTCGCGGTGGCAGCAGCAGAGGCGTGGCGCGGTCGGCGCGCCCGCGCAGCCGTGGGCCATTTTCACGGCAGGCTGTATGGGCGCCGGCAAGACACACGTGATGGAGCTGCTCGATGAGAACGGTGACGCTGCTCTCTACCGTCTGCTCTCCGCTCTCCTCTCTCCGCTCTTTGCTCTCTCTTCTCTCCGCTCTGCCCACTCCTGTCCCCTCCCCCCAGGCCTGCTTCCCCTCTCGTCCTTCGTGCGCATCGACGTGGACCGCATCCGCGCCGCGCTGCCAGAGACGCGCGCCTACAAGCCGCTCCTCTGCGACCTCTTCCTGGACCTGTCCTGGACCTTTCCTGGAACCTTCCTGTAGGCGCACCTACGAGCGGCTCAACGCGCAGACGGCCGGACTGCTCACGCAGCTCGAGGCGCGCCTGGGTCGCAGGAGGCGCGGCAGGAAAGAACTACGCGGAGGCACGCGCGGCTTCTTTGTACCTGCATATAGGCGGGCTGCCTCGCAGACGCGTCCCAGTCTTGTGTTGCGTGCCCGTGGTCGCACGCGGCGCGAATTTCTTTTTCCAGGCGGGCTGCATCGCAGAGGTGGCCACAGAGGAGGCGTTTCTCCCACGCCAACGGCTGCACGCCGTCGGCTTGTGGGCGGTGTCTCTTCACACCTCCGGCTGTGAACAGGTGCGTCGCGGCGCCTGGTCTCTTCATGCCGTCGGCCTGTGGGCGGCGTCTCTTCACACCTGCAGCTGTGAACAGGCCTTCCGCCGCGGGTTCCATGTCTGGGTCGACTCCTCCTTGCGAGACAGGCGGGCGTTAGTGAGAGAGTGGGCGAGAAGAGTAGCCGAGATCAGCCGAGGTTGGCGGAACGTCGCCGAGAGTCGCCGAGAGTCGCCGAGAGTAGCCGAGAGAGAGCCGAGAGAGCCGAGAGAGCCGAGAGAGTAGCCGAGAGAGGAGTCGCAGGGGAGCGAGTCGTCTATCTCGGCTCACATTTCGGCTCACTCCTCGGCTCATCTCGGCTCACCTCGGCTCACCTCGGCTCACCTCGGCTCACCTCGGCTCACCTCGGCTCACCTCGCCTCCTCTGCGAGTCAGGCTCCGGTGGTCACGCGAGCTGTGAACAATACAGCTGTGAACAATACATACATACCTGCAGCTGTGAACAGGCTCTGGTGGTCACGCGAGCTGTGAACAATACAGCTGTGAACAATACATACATACCTGCAGCTGTGAACAGGCTCTGGTGGTCACGCGAGCTGCGGCGGCTGCGCCGCGTCTACCCAGCCCACCGCCTAGGTAGGTAGGTAGGAAGGTGAAGAACAGCCAGGCTCGGACTGGACACATGCGCGGTCTGGGTGGGGACGCGGGACAGAAGAGGACGGCACGCTCGAGCGACACACAGACACAAACAGGCTCACAAGACACACCGCCTCGGCATAGCACACACGCACACACACACACACACACACACACACACACACACACACACACACACACACACACTCACACACACACGCACACACACACACACACACACACGCACACACACACACACACACACACACACACACACACACACACACACACACACACACACACACACAGTGCACGTCACTGCGTCGTGGGGCAAAAAAAAGAAATGCGGTCGCCCCCCTGGGATGTCTTTCCACAGGCATCGTGCACGTCACGGCGTCGTGGGCGAGAGTGGTCGAGCGAGAGGCGAGGCGAGGCGCCGAGACGGGGAGGCGCATCCCGCCGCCGCTGCTGGCGCAGGTGTACGATCAGGTGCCGCGCGCCGTGGCCGCGCTGCAGCGGCACGTCGATCTTCACATCGAGGTGGACAACGACACCTCCCAGCCGCGGTGTGCCCCCCCCCCCCCCCCTTCCCTCCCTCCCCTGGCGCCTTCCGGCAGGTTGCGCCGCCCCGAGGATGTGCTTGCTTTCCTCCGCCTCTGCCGGCAGCTCGCCCCCGCAGAGGGCCGAGGCGAGGGGCGGTGGCGCAGGCAGCAGGAGTTCGCCGTCTGGCGTTGGTTCGACGCCGAGGGGTTGAGGACCAAGCGGTGGGAGGCCACAGCCGCGGCCTGAGTTGCCGGCACCAACTTGATTCCCGGATCGGCGTCTCCCCCTCCCCCTATGTGCCGCCACCCCCCACCAATCCGTAATTCCGTAAAATCGCGTGACAAGCGCCCTAATCGAGCTGGAACGCGGCCCCCGGCAGCCGCCTGGGATCGTGCCCTAGCTAGCGGGAGGCGATAGACGTACTTTTCGGCGTGAACTAAGCTCTAAGGCGACGTCCGGCAAGTCGTGGGGTCCAGACTCACACGAGACTCACACGGCCGGCGCCAAGCGCGCGTAACCACCGAGCCGCTCTCCGCCGCCGCTCCTCGCCACCAACCATGATGGTGCGTGACTCGTTCACCCCCCTCCCCTCACTACGACCAGCCCTCTCACCCATAGCGGGTGGGGAGGCCCTAAAACGGCGGGAGGGGTAGGGCTATATCGATAGAGCTAGAGGGCTCAACCACCCCTCCACCCCTCCACCCTCCACCCCTCCACCCTCCCGGAGCGAGAGAGGTCCGTCTTCGAGCCCTCCCACTTCCACCCCTCCGACCGGAGGGCTCGCCAGCCCACAGGGCTGGAGGGGTCCCCGTCGGATCGGCGTCGGGAGGGCTCCACAGGGCTAACCCCCTCCCCGGACGCCGGGTGGGCTCGGAGGGACGGTCGGACAGGGGAGGATCTTCATGGCGGGAGGGCTCGAGAGGGGTCGGAAGGGCCCTCCGGGAGGGGTCGCAAAAAGATAAAGAAAACGAAGTCGCGGCTTATGTGACTGCCCCCCAAGAGGGCTCGGAGGGCTCGGAGGGCTCGGGAGGGCTGGAGGGCTAGAGGGCTCCATTAGGGCTCGGAGGGGTCGATCCTCTGAGCTCTCCGACCCCTCCGACCCCTCCGACCCCTCCGACCCCTCCGACCCCTCCGACCCCTCCGACCCCTCCGAGCCCCCCGAGTTCCCCGACCCCACAGCTCGGTGAGCAGCCTGCCCCTCCCTCCCGACAAACCAACTCCCGCACACACACAATCGCACTCTGGCCATCGAATGACTCCGAATGACTCACTGTGTGTGCTAAGACAGAATCTCCGCAGACAGCCAAAATGGGCCGTGCCGCGTTTGTGGTGTCTTCTCAAGCACTAGCACCTGGGCGCCGCACTCGAGTGGGCGGGTCACATCTATGAGGGCCCAGTGCGCACTAGGCGCATATGCTAGTGCTATCCTGCCCTATGGGAGGCAGAGGGATGGGGGGAGGGGGGGCAGAGGTAGGGTGGGGTGAGACTGGGGAGGACCTCAGAGGTCCTCCATGGGGGTGGGGTCCGTCCGGCTCGAAAAGGTCAAAGTGGGTGCCGGTCCCGCCATCGCCGCCGACGCCGTCGCCCTCGTCCGCCTCGGAGGCGGAGGTCGTCGGGCGGGGCGCCTCGCCCGTCGCGAACCTGCCGCCGAACACGGCGTCGGCCGGCGCCGAGGCGCCGGCAGCCGTGATCAGGTCGGCGACCTTTCGGTCCCTGCAGGCCGCATCAATTTTGCCGCGCGCCGGGACGGCTCGTAGAGCTCGTTGGCGAGCCAGTCCCGGGCGACCTTCGTCGCCACGGAGCCCAGTCTGAGCTGTCTGACTGTGTTCTGTGTCTCTGTGTCTCTCGGTACTCTCGCCCTTTCGTGGGATTCGCGCGCCTGCCCCATAAATTCAATAACACGCGGCAGCCGGTCTTGCAACACATCTGGCCCGCCCCGCGCGACAAAACTAGACCGGACGCGGGACCATCCACATCATCACCGGCTCGCGGCAATACGGGCACTCTTGCATCAGCTCAGAGCATGGCCCGCAAGCGCACAGGTGCCCGCACGGGACCGCAGCATGCGACTTGACTCTCGCGAAGCCGACACGATGCACGTGGTCTCGCCCCCCATCGTGGACTCGGGGGTAGCCGGCCGCCCCGTGTCGAGGCCGGCGTCCGCAAGCGAGACGGCAGCAAGCGACTCGGTGACTGGCAGATGCTGCTCCGCCGCCTCTCCCGCCTCTGGCCCGATCAAGCGCTCGATGGCGCCGACCCGCTCCTCGAGGCTGCCCTCGGTCGCCGCGCCGAGGCTCGCCTCCAGCCGCTCGACACGCCGCATCAGGTCCCCGCCGCCGGTCGACTCGCTGCTCACCGCCTCCTCGCACCGCGACACCCGACGCGCCAGAGCCTCCTCCTCCGCATCTATCTCTGACCGGCGCAACGCCTCTGCCAGCTCCGCAGCCTCGCGCAGCGCCGCCTGCTCCGCCGCACCCGCTAGCTCAGCCGCCTCACGCTCCGCCCGCCTCGCAGCCTCCTGCTCAGCAGCCAGCTGCGCCGCCCTCTCCTCCTGTGCGCGAACCTCTGCCGCAGCCCGCGCCCTCCGCTCCTCCTCGAGCTTGAAGGCGGGCGGCGCCTTCTTGGCCTTATTGTTCTTCTCCTTGGCCGCCTTCCTGGCCGCCGCCGCCTCCGCCGCCTTTGCGCGCCTCTTCGCCTTCTCCTCCTCCGCCCTCTTGTCAGTAGCCTCCTTCTCGCGCCGCGCCGTCTCCACCTGAGCCGCTTTCCGAGCCGCCGCCGCCACCCGCTGCTCCGCAAGCTGCGCCTCCTCTGCTGCTCGCCTCTCCGCCTCCCTCGCCCGCAGCGTCTCCTCTGCTGCCGCTCGCTCGGCAACCAGCTTCGCCTCCGCCTCCGCCGCAATCGCCCGCCTCTGCTCCTCCAGCGCCGCCGCATCCGCCGCCCGGCGCGCCTCGCGCGCCTCTCGTTCTGCTTCGCGCCGGCGCGCAGCCTGCTCGCGCTCTCGCGCCGCCGCCGCCTCCTCCCGCTCGCGCTGCTCGCGCCGCCCCTTGGCCTCGAGCGCCTTCTCTGCCGCCTTCTCTGCCGCCTCCGCCTCCTTCAGTGCCGCTGCGTGCTCCGTGAGAGCGCGCACACACCCGGCGTGGTCCTTTGCAGGAGCACCACCAGCAACGTCGGCATTAGCCAGCTTGGCCCCCTCCTTGGCGTATTGCAGCGCCGTCATGCCGGCCACAGAGCGTGCCTTTGTGTCTGCGCCCGCCTGCAGTAGACAGCGCACGACGGGGAGGCGGCCTTTGCCGGCGGCGGCCATCAGCGCGGTGCCGCCGTCGTTGTCCCGCACCTCTGCATCAGCGCCGTGCCTCAGCAGCAAGTCAAGCACCCGCTCGTGGCCGTTGATGGCGGCGAGCATCAGCGCGGTGCGGTGCCTGCCTTTGCTGCTCTGCACGTTGGCCTCCGCGCCGTGCTGAAGCAGCAGCTCGACCACCCGCCCGTGACCTGCGAAGACGGCGCCCATCAGCGCGGTCCAGCCGTTGCTGTCCTGCGCGTTGATCTCAGCGCCGTGCCGCAGCAGAAGGTCGACCACCTGATCGTGACCTTCGGAAGCGGCCCACACCAGCGCAGTCCAGCCATCGCTGTCCTGCAGGTTGATCTCCGCACCGTGCTGCAGCAGCACCTCGACCACCCGCTCGTGGCCTTCGATGGCGGCGTCCATCAGCAGCGTTACGCCAGTAGTCACCTCGCCTTCCTCGCCCCGACGCTCGCGGGTGGCGTTCGCTCGCCCTCCACCCTCAAGCCACACACGCACCGCCACTTCGTCACCTCTGAAGACCGCCTCTACGTGGTCAGCCGTCTCAGCCGTCTCGCCGCGCGCCGCCATCGATGGCAAGGGCGCCCCGAATCTTTGGCGCGGATTTTCTTTTTCCGAAACAGATCGTATATGAGCAATTATTGCCAATCCAAAAACAGAAACTCCCAGAAGCTCACCTCGTCGTGACGGTACGCGAAGATTGGCAAGAGCAGCGGCAGATATTGTTGATGGCGACCCCGTGATCCCTTCTGAGGTCTCGAACGTGGTCTCGGCAAGAGAGAGAGAGATTTTTAGCAATGTGCGGCGGGAACGCATGCGTCGCGGTGACGAAAGACGGCAAGGCGGTGGCGTGGGGGCGGCATCCAAAGAGGGGCGCAGGCGACCCAACGGGGGTGTCCTCTCAGAAAGGATCCTGTCTGAATTGCAAGGGAGGGATGACGGAGACGACGTACGTGTCCCCGGACGACCTCAGCTCGGGCGTGATCGCCGCGATGTGCGGTGGTATGGCGTGCGTCGCGGTAAAGTCCGACGGCTCGGTGCACGCATGGGGGTTAGTCGGATCTGGAGGCCGCCCGAGCTGCGTTTGGGAAATGATTTGCGATGGCCAGGGGTGCTGTCAGCGCGGGCTTGGGGCGGACCTTGCCTCGGGCGTGGTCTCGGCGAGGGGTCCCGTAGGAATTCGAATTCCTACCATGCGGAACCGACCCTATCCATCCAGTGCTCAAGTGCTCAAGTGCGAAAGCCACCCGTGAAGCACTAGGTAGGTAGGTAGAAAGGTGAAGAACAGCCAGGCTCGGACTGGACACCAACGCGGTATGGGTGGACGCTGGACAGATGATTGATGACGACACGCACGAGCGACACACAGACACAAACAAGCTCACAAGACACACAGCCAGCGGGCTGCCACACACCCTGAGTAGGCGTACACATAACTCAAGGCCATATCCTCCCTGTCGCCCCCCCCCCAGCACTCCACGGTGCCAAGAGAAGCACTGGAGAGACGGTCGGCCGTAAAAAAAACACGCATTTCATGGTTAGTGCCGAGGGCACACCACACACACACACATATGGCGTCCGCCGCCCGCAAGCGCGCCCGTGCCGGTCGCGGATGGCTTCGAGGCGCCCATCTTTGGCGCGCGCGTCGTCGGCCAGGTCTCCACGCTGCCGCTCGAGGGCGAGGACGGCCTCGTTGGCGTCGCGAGCGAGCACGCAGGCGCCTGGTACGTCGCGACCATGGACTCGCTGCTGCACGTCTCGGCGGCCGGGCGCGTGCGCCGCGTAGCAGCCTTGCCGGCAAGTGAAGTCTTCTACACCGTTGCTGCCAGCCCAGACGGGAGCGCGGTGTTTGTGGCAGACGACACCAACGAGATCCGGCGGGTGGAGGTGGCGACTGGCGCTGTGACGACGCTCGCGGGCAGCGGCAACATGGGCGACGCGGATGGTGTGGGCGACGCGGCGCAGTTCGACGGCCCAGCCGGCATCGCCATCAGCCCGGACGGGAGCGCGGCGTTTGTGGCGGACTGCAGCAACCACAAGATCCGGCGGCTGGAGGTGGCGACGGGCGCTGTGACCACGCTCGCTGGAGGCGGCGATGTGGGCGACGCGGATGGTGTGGGCGACGCGGCGGAGTTTGACGGCCCCTCCGGAGTCGCCCTCAGCTCCGACGGGAGTGCACTGTTTGTGGCGGACTCCTGCGGCAACAAGATCCGGCGGGTGGAGGTGGCGACTCGCGCGGTGACCACGCTCGCTGGAGGCGGCGAGGATGGCGGCGCGGATGGCGTCGCCGACGCGGCGCAGTTCCGCTACCCAGCTGGCATCGCCATCAGCCCGGACGGCGGCGCGCTGTATGTGGCGGACTATGAGAACCACAAGATCCGGCGGGTAGAGGTGGCGACGGGAGAGGTGACGACGGTCGCGGGCAGTGGCACCAGGGGTAGGGAAGACGGCGTGGGCGACGCGGCGCAGCTCGACGGCCCAGATGAAGTCGCCATCAGCTCCGACGGCAGCACGCTGTTGGTCAGTTCGAGCGGTGGCCTCCGCGAGGTCTGCGTGGCTGCGCCTCCTCCGCCTCCCTCCTTTGCCCCGATCGTCGTTCCGCCTTCGACCCTTGGAGCCGACCTCGCAACGACGCGGGGCGACGCCTCCCTGCCAGAGGGGAAAGTCACCTTCCTGGTCGGCGACGACCTGGAGCGCATCGAGTACGTCACCAAGGCCGTCCTCTGCGCCCGGTCCCCGGTCTTTCGGACGATGTTTGGCATCGGCATGAAGGAGCGCGACGCCGCCGAGGTCACGGTGCGCAACACCGACCTCGCCAGCTTCACCGCCCTTATCGACTACCTCCTCTCCGACAAGTTCGACCTCGGCGAGGCGGAGGGCGGCAGAGCGCAGCGCGCGCTCGACCTGCGGGAGCTGGCGCAGATGTACCAGGTGCCGCGCCTCGAGCTGCTCTGCGCGCAGGCACTGCAGGAAAGCGTCGCGCCGGCGAGCGCCGTGCCGCTGCTCGAGGCGGCGCACACGACGGGCGACGGGCGGCTCCTCGCGCAGTGCCGCCGCTACGTGGCCGACCACGCCGCCGAGGTGCGGGCGAGCGGCGGCGTGGAGCAGCTGCGCGACTTTGGCGTGGCCAAGGGGCTGCTCGGCGACGCGCTCGACCAGGTGGCGGAGCTGAAGGGGGCGGTGGCGGCGCGCGACGCGGAGCTCGGGAAGGTCCGGGCGGAGGTGGCCGAGCGGGCATGAGTGAGGGGCAGCGCCCCGCGCCTTGCGATCGCTCGCCGCTTGGCACCAGTGACAGCAGTGTGTGACAGCGCGCAGCGCGCCGTGTACAGGGAGCGCCCTCCTGCCCAAGCTGCAGAAACGAGCTTTTAGTGGCTATAAGCATAGGCACTGAGATATGGTGCGCGCGGAGCGCGCTGGTGCTACCTGGACATACGCGCGGAGCGCGCTAGGCAGTAGCACTGCTGCAGAGCACGCGCGGAGCGCGCCGCTGGAAAGCACGCGCGGAGCGCGCCGCTGGGTAGGTGCGGAGCGCCGCCACTTGAGGTTGGGCCTGTGGGTGGGCCGAGTGGTTCCAGCGTGTGAGTCAAACTCTTACTAGAAATCGCATCTAGCCCTCCACAACCCTCAAAATTTTCTTCGGGGCGCGCTCCGCGCGCGGCGCTCCGCGCCTCACTCCTTGAGCGTCATAGGCGCTGGCCTGCACATGTTCTGCAGCTTGGCCTCCTGCGACACCGTTTTGATTTCCCGGTACGTTCGTACGTTCGTACGTCAGTAGTCGCACTCTATCTTCTTCACGGCACATGTTCTGACAGACATTCTGACATCAGACCCGCGATTCTAAGGTAAGGGCTCAGGCGCTCGAGGACCGGATCGTGTGGGGCTCCTGTCGTTAGACGTGGAGATGCGAGGGTTGCCCCCCCTTGCCCCACCACCTCGTGTGTGTGGAGAAGTTTACCTTACCTTACCTTACCTTACGATCGTGTGTGTAGCCTCAATGTTGTTTTAATGCGCGCCCCCGCCGAAATGCAATCTAGGGTACCCTTGCGCTCCGGGCCGGTGTGCGGGGAGCGAACCAATCGGGCAAGGATCACCGATGTCGTCGAGTGGGATGGTTGTACCTCCTCCGTTGATAGGCATGTCGTCGCCCACGGTGCTGCTCTCCCCGTCGTCTGCGTCCGTTGGGATAGATTCGTCTTGCCACTGCAGCGACCGGCAATTTCTTCTTATTTGTGCCCTAGTGGGCGCTCGGGACGCACGTTCATCCATCCGTCATTCGCCTCGGCGACGCGAGCCGCGTTGATTGTGTGATACTCCTTAATGCCTGCCCAGGACCTCGCCGCCACGCTAGCGATGTTGCTCATCCAAGCGTGCGACGCCTGCCTGCTGCTGGGGCGGCGAGCGCCGCGCTCCGTTGCGGCGGTCCGACCCCGGCTGAGCGGGAGTCTCAGCGTGGTGGCCTTGCTCCTGCTGCTCTCCTTCCCATCTGCAGCTCGGGCTGGCACGGGCGAGGCTGGCTCTGGTGAGGCTGGCTCTGGGGAGGCTGGCTCTGGTGAGCTGGGCTCCGGACTTTGGGAGCCCCTGCCAGTTCTGCCACATTTGCGTTCAGCGCATGCCGCAGAAACGCAGTGCCTTAGCTGGTGCACCATTCACACGCAGCTGTGGGACTCCAAGTGCAGATGGAGAGCAAAGTGCGATGGCTGCTCGAGCTGCTCGACGGCACCGCCACCACCCGCGCGGTCCCCCACGCCACCGCCATCGGGCTGCCACTGGGGCTGCGCCGTCAATACCAACCTCTGGCACACCAAATGCCTGTGGAGCACCTGCATGGGATGCGCATCATGCGAAGGTAATGGGAGCCCACCGGGCTGCCATTGGGGCTGCGCCGTCAATACCAACCTCTGGCACACCAAATGCTTGTGGAACACCTGCACAGGATGCACATTATGCGAAGGCCCCGCCACACCCGCGCCGTCCCCCGCGCAATCGCCACCGTCCTATACCTTGCCGTCCTCGCCTTCGCCGCTGTCCGCTCCGCCGCCACTGCCCGCTCATCCGCAACCATCCGCGTCGCCGCCCTCGCCGTCCCCGTCGCCGCCCCCAGCCGCCACGCCGCCGCCGCCAACAACAACTCAGCCTCCGCCGTTGATGCCCCCGCACGGAACCGCGCCCTCGCCGCTGCTGCCGCCATTGGCAGCAGATGTGTGCGTCCTGGGCGGCACCGTTTCCCGTGCTGCCTCCAATGGCAACATCTGCTACCTCGGCCCCGTCCTGTCGTCGACGTGCCCAGATGCTGCCCCCTGGGGATGCTGGGAGTATGGCTTGAGTCTATACTACACCTTGCCGTACTCGCCATCCGCTTCGCCGCCTCCGCCGCTGCCATCCCCATCGCCGCCACCGCCGCCGCCACCGCCGCCGCCACCGCCACCGCCACCGCCGCCGCCACCGCCACCGCCGCCCTCGCCCTCGCCACCATACTCGACGCCACCACGGCGTCCGGCGGTGGGGGCGCAGTTTTGGGATCTGTCGAGCCGTGTGCTCATCGACGAGCGTTTGCGGGCCAAGGGCCACGTCGCCTCACACTACCACACCTTTGGCGCTCCTTACCTGGTCGACTGGGATGGCGACGGTTGGATGGACATCTTCGCCACCAACCACGTCAAGTATGAGTCTTGTGAGACGCACTGGCGCGCTAGCAGTGCACCTATGAGAGGGCTCTTCCTCTCTCTCCCAATGTTCACCCGCGTGTCATCGCTGATCGTAGGGACCTGGCCCTCAATCGCGGCGGCGGTCAATGGCTCGAGGCCGCGGTGGGTGCCGTTGAGTACGTCGTAGGCTACGCTGAGCATGAACCACTCGGGGGAATGAAGGAGAGGTTTGATGCGCACGGCGGCGCAGTCATCGACCTAGACCGCGACGGGCTGTTGGACCTGTACGTTGCGCAGGGCGCCGTCCGTGGGACCGACACGACGTACCACTCAGAAAACGGCCTCTTCTGGGGGACCCCCGACGGCCGGCTCCTCGGCGGCCGTGGGACAGCCAGGGAGGCTGGGCTCTTCTGTCAGGGGTGCCGCGGGTACAACGTGGCTGTGGCTGATGTGGATGGTGACGGCCTCCTCGACATCATCTCATGCAACAAGGAGCGCAACGACGACAACACGATCCCCTCGCGGCTCTGGCTGAACCGGCCGACGGCGGCCTCGAGGAGGAATTTTGCGTATGTGCCCCAGTTCAGGGTGTACAGCAGCAGCGCTCTTATGACCGACTTCGACCAGGCAGCATGTGGTGGTGGGGGTGGTGGGGGTGGTGGTGGTGGGGGGGGGGGGGGGGGCTATCTCTCGGCTCAGGGGCTCCCTAACAAGCAAGCCAATGTTGCCTGTAGGATGGCTTTGCGCAAGAGCTTCTTGTCCTCATCGACATCCCGCGATCGACCTCGGGCCAGGACACGCTCGCAGTGTACAAATGGGACGCGGCGAGGGGATTGCTAGCGGATATCACACCGGATTGGTGGCCCATATTTGGATCCCAGTGGAGCGACCGTCAAATCTATGGGCGTGAACTCAAGGCTCTCAGCACTGGCGATTTCAACGGTGACGGCCTCATTGATTACGCGTTGCTCACGGTCCGGCGCCCTCAAACTTTGCTTCCGCCCCATCCTCTATTGAGTGACGGGATACCGCCCACCCCACGGCACCCCGTTTGAGGATTAGGGCTGGGGCGTCGACCTTCTCTACTCCTCGCCTGTCGGGCTCCGTTCCATTGCTGACAGCACCGGACCCTTTCTCAGAACATGCTCTTCAACCGTGGACATGAAGGCGCCGCGTGCTCTTGCACAGGCACCCAGCCAACGTTGCTCACTGAAAGCACCTCTCCCCAGGCGGCTGACTACGACCTCGATGGCACGCTCGACCTGCTCGTCCTGTGCAATTCAAATGCCGTCATCCTGACGCAGACGGCCGATGGCAGCTGGGTCCACATGCCGGGCGCCTATGGCGACCTCAACGACCCGGGGCGTAGCAAAGCGGACGACAACTGGCTCATCTGGTGCTGCAGCAACTACGACGCTTGCACCGCGGCGTCGTCAATCAGAGCGTTTCACCTTGAGCCCATGTGTCAGATGGTCGACTCAGCCTGGCCGGTGGGCAACAGGTGGTTTGGTCTGACTTCGTTCGACATCGACAATGATGGCTTTGTCGACCTAATGCCGTGCAACACAAAGTGCCGACTCTACCGCAACTCTGGAGGGAACGGAAACTCCTACATCGCGTTCAGGCTGGTGGGCAGCGCGAGCAACGAGTACGGCATCGGCGCGACAGCGCTCCTCACCTGGCGTCCCGAGCCGGGTGCGGCGCCAAAGCAGCAGATGCGCGAGGTGAACCGGGCCTCGGCTGGCGACCCCCGCGGCAGCGCGGACCACCGCCTAGTCTTTGGGCTCGGCCCTTCGGGTGTTCCCCTCCGCTTGGAGGCCCAGCAGCACACCACAGACACCGATGCCGATCCTGTGGAGCCCCGGCAGAGGGAGGCTCGGACGGTCAATAGGTGCGCTGGCCATCGGGCACGGTGGATGTCGTCGACGCGCCAGAGGCGCTGGCCGCCCGAGCAAACACAATGCAGGACGCCGTTATTCGGCTGCAGGAGTCGACGATCATGGGTACGCCCTAGGGAGCCCGCGCCGGCCCAGAGGCAGAGCGCAGTCCGCAGAGGAACACGAGGTGACCTGGGACTATGCCCGCTGGGCCGGGACACGCCGCGCGGGACGGTCGGCCCGCGCGGGGCGGGGCGGCCGAGGGCGCGGGAGAGCGGGGGCGGCGGGCGGGGGACGCGTAAAGTAGCTCACGTTGACGTAAACGCCTTGCGGTTTCTCCCGTTTCCGGATTCCGCCGGTTAGCGCATAATTATACAGCCCCTTGGAGTGTGAAGGCTTCGTAGCCCTCCGGTCTACGAAGATCCGCAGGACTGGAGCGAAAAAAAAGCAAGCGAGTGGCGCATATAGCGGTTTGTCCGCCGCTCTGCCGCGTGCCGCCGCCCCCGCGGGCGCCGCGGCCCGCGCCCCGCGCGGGGGGCCGCGCGTTCTTGGGCGCTCATGCTTGGGTGTAATCGCGCCTGCTCCGCAATATCTATCTAGATCGCTCGAACAGAATATTACACCACGCGAGCGCACACCTCCACCATGCCAGCGGGGCTTTCGTAGCGGGGCGCGCCCTCCCAATTCTCTCCTCCGCCTCGAGCAGCCCGCTCTCGCGAGGAGGTCCGGAGGAGTGGGGACGAAAGTGGCCGTGCCTGGCCGGCGTGTGTAGTGGCCCCGGCGGCGTGGTGTGTGTGTGTGTGTGTGTGTGTGTGTGTGTGTGTGTGTGTGTGTGTGTGTGTGTGTGTGTGTGTGTGTGTGTGTGTCGGCCAGTCGCCGGAACAGAGGTGTCAGTACGTCGCACAAGCCAAGCAGAGTCCTGCCCGCCTCAGGAGGGGTTGGCGGGCCCGGTCGCATGTTGGCGGGTACACTCTTGCGCTGCGGGGGCGGGGGCGGGGGCGGGGGCGGGGGGGGGGGGGGGGTCATGAAGGGGGGGGTAAAGGGGAGGTAAACGGGAGGTAAAGGGAGGTACCGGGAGGTAACGGGATCT